CGCTTTCTCGACTGGTCGTACTGAAAACAATACCAATGCATCATGGTAAGTGATTATATACATAAGTGTTTGATGTTTGACGTATACATTTTCTGAAAACAGAAAATTGTGCTGGACAAACTAGTAGCCAAAGGATTACATATTACAAATTAGTATTGAAGATAAAAAATAATAAAGAATGAGAATCGTGCATCTTTTACATCTATTGAATAGACTACCTGCTTCACTGCAGTTATAGAGAGACAGACATGATAGATGCATGCGTTACCTTCGACTTGTGGCATTACCATGCAGGCACGGCCGCATCCATTAGAACAACATTTACTATCTTCTGAACAGTCGTAATCGTAACTACATTCATCGTCACAAACTAATCCATTGTCTTCAACTGCGGGACATTCTCCGCTCTTATCTACAATAATATAAATATATAAAGTGATAGGGGTGAACACTTTATTCAGAAACGTACATTGAATTGGCTACTTGTCATAATATAAAAATATACGTATTTGACATACCACAATTAGCTCTTCCTTCTTTCCTAGTGCCAGATACTTCAGTACCAAACCTATTTACACACCAACATTCTCTAGTTTCATGCCAACATTGCTCCTTTTCATAGAATCCATCCGCCGTACAACGAGGCAAGAATGAACCTGAAATATTTGAATATTACATTAAACCAAATACAGTAACTTTGTTTCAATACACCATTATTCAGCCGGTATAATTTTTTTTTAAATCCATGCGCATCAGTGGTTTCACCCAAACCAACATCTTCACAAACGTATGACGTCATGGTACAATACATAAGGCATACCTGGTACATTGTAAGCTTCACGGAGGTCATCATTGCATGGTTCATTAGAAGATTCTAGAAAAAATGGAACGTGACATAGTGAGTGTAAGATATATTATTGTACATCTGTTACCGTAATGCCATAAGTTACAGCGTGCCGTAATATTGTGGTATTGCACTGGGTATTTTCATCCTACCATGTCCCCTTATAAAAAAATCATGACAGCCCCCAGAGTTTGACCGGACCCAATACAAAGAAGTTCGCTTAATCTGTTCTAAACTTTTTGTACTTCGGCATTCTAATGATGTATCCTCGATATTTGCTCATTCATAAATTATTCCGTCTTATTGCCTCATTGTTATTTATTTATGTCGTTATTACGTATGGGTCATCTTAATTAACACATGAAGAAAACGTTCATAATATACGCATTTAATTTCCATTTTCTAACCGCCTCATTGTAGTCTTTCAATAATACACTGTGTATTGGCTCTTTCCTGTCTCAACTATGTTTTTTTTATTATTATTATTATTATTATTATTGATATAATATAATAGTAATAATTAGTGAGACTAACCCCGGTTATCTTCTTCAGATTTCGGTTCTGGTATCGTCACACATGTATGACCACAGCCATTAGAACAACATTTCTGATCGTCAAAACAATCATGATCATATGAGCACTCTTCAACGCATGTCCCTACAGTGTCGTCAGTAACGGCTGGACAGGAACCAGGTTTGTCTATAAAGATATGCACACGTTGGATAACATAACTAGGCAATTGCGATTTGACTGGACAGTTAATTTGCTATTTTGACAATGACCGGGAAGAATGGGATATTCACTTACCACAGTCAGCACTTCCACGAACCCTTGTTCCATCCACTTCGTTGCCCATCTTGGTCACACACCAGCAGATATTGTTGCTTTCCCAACATTGTTCGTTAGTATAAAACCCTGCTTCATTGCATCGAGGTTTAAACATTCCTATACAAATATGCATAATACAAAGTGAGATATAATATTTATCAAAGTGTACATGCATGTGTATTTATCAAAGTGTAATGTGCGGCCACTTTGAGACAAGACGGGTTGAATAATAAAGTGTCTGTATTGAAACTTAATTGTAACTATTCTACATTTGTTACGAAATACTACACGAAACTGAAGTAAAATAACAAAACATTTGTATAGACTAACTGATTTTTCATTCTATTAAAATATTCTATAATTATTGTCTACATAAGTAAACATATGCCGAGTTAATACATTGGGGATGTTGTTGTTTTTTTTGAATATGAAGATTGTGTTTGATTTGATTAGTTCTCTTGTTGTTGTAACTGCATTCAAATTCATGTATCGTGTTATATACAAGGATGGGTGTGTTCAGAATGGTGATTGTGTCCCGTATCCATATACATGTATATACCTACAGTTTGAAGGGCAAAGCTGGATAGAATTGTATTTTTTTTCTTTTCTCACCTGGAGTTGAATTGATTTCAGTGTCGCGAAGTTCGACCATGCATGGTGGCTCATCAGAAAGTTGATACCCTGAAATGAAAATTACCTTATTTTTGTATTACCTTGTGGTACCCTAGAACTGATACAATAATTGAAGTTTACTAGAAAATTAACTGCAGACTATACATTTGAGCTTACCACCCCTTCCACCTGGGTTAGTGTTATCTTGCATAGCAACGCAGCTGTGGCCGCATCCGTTCGAGCAGCATTTGTCATTATCCGCGCAGTCGAAGTCCGACTGGCAATAGTCGACACAGGTACCAACACTTCCCGGAGCTACTGAAGGGCATGTTCCTAGTTTTTCTGTCAGAGCAAACATTACAAAAAAAACAATAACATTACATTGCTTTGTATATTGTGTTATTAGCGCCAAAATAATAACATATTATATGCTATTATTTAAAAAAAATGAGGCAACATTTCCATTTGAGCTCGAAACGCATTAACTGCTTTTTGGGGGGAGGGGTAAAATCCGAGGGAATACCGGGTGTTCCATGTGATAAATGTGTATAATCATTATTGGGGGTTATCGTAATATAATCTACCGGGGTACATACCAGTTTGTACAACTATGCATGTATTACCACATCCATTTGAGCAACATTTCTCGTTGTGTGCGCAATCATAATCATAGCTACAGGCTTCATCGCATGTTGCAACCGTTCCTGGCTGTGGAGCTGGACATGTTCCGGCTTTGTCTATAATAAACACGAGATCCCCAGAGTAAATCAGCAGTACTTAGCATGGAAGTTGTAATATCAACATGTTGTATGACAGTCGATACAATTCATTCAAATGCATTACAGTAAAAACCACAATATTACTAGAGTTGAGCCACCTACCACAGGTTGCTCTACCGCTAACACGCGTCCCGTCCGCTTCTTCACCATTGACATTGACACACCAGCATTGTCCAGTACTTGCGTGACATTGTTCTTTCTCGTAATAGCCATCTCCACGGCATCTTGGAACCAAAACACCTGGCATGACAACATTTACAGGTAATTACATTATGCACACGTTACTATGGACTAACTGAACGGTACCGCATTTTAACACAACAATATTTCTGTGTGCACCTCGTTCCCATTTTCCTTAGAAGTGCGTTAGAAAATTGGTACATGTAGTAGGTTTCTGTTCGCCAAATAATATTCGAATACAAACGGACAGGTTTTCATAACACTGTCAAACACCGTTGTGGGAAAAATTAAATTAATGTTAATATTCATGAGCATCGCATTGTCACGTGATTGCAAAAACATCGAGCAAGTAAATCAGGATACAGTTAAAGAAGGACACCGACATTCTTGAGATATACCGTAATACCCGCATACAATAGTATATACACTCGTTAGGTGATCAAGTTGTAATAGAGGGGTTATATTTACCTGGTGCGTATGGGTATGGTATTGATCGCACCTCAGAATAACAAGGAGTTTCATCTCTTTGAGGTTCTGTGAAACAGAGAATATGGTGTTTGAAAATATGTAGTGCAATTGTCGTATACGGGAATATAAATATTGTTGACTACGATGTTGAAGATGCAAGAGAACTGAAACTTTTGCGTAATGTAAAAAAGACTTTTTGGGTGTTTTGTACGGGATTTATTTTCACTGATTTTTGTCGAGTTGAATGTAAAATATAGGAAAAAAGGTATATTCGCTGGATTTTATTTTCACTGAATCATTCCTTCAGCAAAAATAAATTCCAAACGAAAATAAAGTATTTTACAGTAAACTGCAGCACTTTCAAAGATTCAAGGGAAGATTCTAATGATCAACAGGATCTGAGGTCACAAATTAGTTAAAGTGTTTGTGGATATACAGTAGTCGTATATTGCCACAGATACTGTTGTTCGACTAGGTTTTTTTTTACCTGATTCTATGGCTACACATGTGTGACCGCATCCATTGTAGCAACACTTCTTGCTATCTGCGCAATCGTAATCATAACTACACTCCTCCACGCATGTTCCAACCAATCCTGACTGTACAGCGGGACATGTACCGGGTTTATCTGAAATGCAATCAATTTAATGAGAAATAACGCGTTCTAACGTGAAATTATAAAACATGATATATACACGTTAGATACTCTCCGCATAGTGTATAGCATATCCTCAACGTACTATACCTACCACAATTTGCGCTCCCACGAACCCTAGTCCCATCAACTTCTGTTCCGTCCTTGCTTGCACACCAACAATAACCGGTACTTGTGTAACATTGATGTTTCTCGTAGTATCCATCTTCACGACAAGATGGGAGAAACGTACCTAAAAACAACATGGTGGATTACAGTGTAAATTATCAAACAGAAGACAGAAGGAGTTAATGATAAAAAAGGCATTGCTGTTGATGAACTAATACAATATTTTTATTTAGCCAAGTAATTATTTACTAAGTTAGCCCCACGCCTTACGAATTATGACAAATCTACCTTACCTGGTGGATATGGTTGTTGAATGGCACGTAGTTCAGCATGACAAGGTGGTTGATCTAATTCTTCAGTTTCTGCAAGGAAAATAGACAAATACTACAATATTCAACACTAGGACTCAATGGAGTTATGTTAGACATTTCAGTATGTTAATCGATCTGAAATCGGAAATCATTAACTTATAAACAACATGTTATATATCATTAGTTTTCCAGAATCAATCGATTACCTGTTTCTATTTCCACGCAGCTAAGGCCACACCCGTTAGAGCAACATTTTGAAGTTCCTGGACAGTCATGATCATATGTACACGCTTCAACGCATGCGCCAAATTCCCCAGGTTTTCTTGCGGGACACTCTCCATCTTTATCTGCAATACCGAAATATCAGCCAGTAAAATTAGTATTAATATTAACATTGTTTATATAAATATTTAATTACATACTATTTATATTGTTATATTATTAAAACATTTCTGGTAGACTTGATTGTAGTCTGTTGCGACTCCGATGAAAAATTCTCGAAAAATAAATATAAATTGCATGAACGAGTAAGCCCATTTATTTTCACTGGCTTTTTTTCACTATTTTGATGTTTTGGGTCATTTAATTGGGTTTTTAAGTTCACGAATTTGGCAAAGAAACGTAGTTCTTTTTATATAGTAAATAGTGAAAATAAAAAACAGTGAATAATGTATGCGTTTACCGTATTGCCTTCCATATTTGCGATAGACAACAACTATAAATAAGAATTATAATGAAAACCTCAAATCACTCACCGCATTTTGCTTCTCCTCGAACTCTAGTCCCATCAACTTCTACACCTTCCTTGCTTGAACACCAACAATAACCGGTACTTGTGTGACATTGATGTTTCTCATAGTACCCATCATCGCGACATGAAGGAAGGAATATACCTGAATAGACAGAGTGAAAATTAGTATATCTCCATAAAGTATGTGTTTATTCACGTGATAAACAAAATGATTATACAGTGAAAAAACGTTACCTAATGGATAAGGATATGGAACAGCTCGCAATTCAGTGTGACAAGGTGGTTCTGATTCTGGTTGTCTTATTTCTGCAAACAAATTGAACAAACATTTATTGCATTAGTAGCACAATAGCATTAGCCGTAATCAACCAATGGAAAATGACTTGATGTATTATAGCATTATATACTACATTAGTGAGTACTGACATGCTGTGTAAAGTAATAAATATTTGTGTATACTAGTAGTAAATGTTTAGTTGTTAAAGCGGGAGGGTCGTCACCTGCACATGCGCAAGAATTGAGTCCCAAGTGACGATAACAAACGTTAAAAACGCAGAGACTCATGGGTAGACGCTTGTTTGTGAACAAGGACACGCTATGGCCATCCACAGTCCCTCTATATGATAGAGGGACTGTGGGCCATCTGACATATGCGCAGATGACGACTCCCTCGCTTTAATATATACCTTCACACGATGTTCGTTCTCGCGATAACTGAGTTCCAGCTGGACAGATACACGTATACCCACCGGATGCTGTATTGATACATCTGCCACCAAGACACAGGTCACGAACACTTTCACAAAGACCTGTCGTATTAACAGTATGAACAGTAAATAGGAATAAATGACCGAATAAGTGTGTTAATACTTAATTATGCGCAATGTATATATGTAGGCTAGAAAGGGATGCGCACAATATTCGTTTCAATGAAATGCACAAACGCTCATTAGCTTTCATTTTTTTGAACATACAATCAAATCACGGCACATGCCTATTTTGTGTATTATTCGTAGCGTATATTCACCTGTAGTAACTGGCGACATACAGTCATGTCCACATCCATTGGAACAGCATTTCTGATCATCTGGGCAGTCTTGGTCGATGTTACACATCTCAGCACATATACCGCCCAGTACACTAGTACTTGCAGGACAGTTGCCTGGTTTTTCTGTAACAATATGAATATGTTATCGCTGTGAGGACATATATCTGTACTCTGATGTACTCGGGTGTCGTGTAAAACATTATTTTTACACTCTTTACACTCTTTATGTTGCATACGATGCGACAACCACCACCATGTAAAGCTACATTTATATGATATTTCGTCATATTTGATATAATGAATTTTAAAAATATTAATATTTTAATAAAGGAAAAACCTTTAACGTTCGGTTCCTCTGCTGGAGGTATACACACATGGCCACATCCATTGGAACAACATTTCTGTTCTCCGGGACAGTCGTCGTCTAAAGAACAATATTCGGCACAGTAACCAATGAACCCGTAGGCCACATCTGTCGCTGGACACGAACCCTCTTTCTCCACTGGATTAAGAGAATAGCGTATTATGGTCAGTGTTAATTGATTTTGTTATCTGCATGTTTTGTTAGATCATTAAGGTATAAACAGACCTCCATGGTTAGATATTAATTCATGAAACAAAATAGGAATTGTCCTTGCCTTTTTTAGGTGGTCGACAAACATGACCACATCCGTTTGAACAGCATTTATCACTACCGGCACAATCACTGTCACTTATACAGAGTTCCACACACAAACCAACGGCCTCAGAGGAGTCTTGTACAACGGGGCATGTGCCTGGTTTTTCTATCAAAAACACACGAATAACAAAGTTTTACAAGACAGGAACGAACCGACCAATCATACTTAAATTGGAAGAATTTATTTAATGCAACTGTTTTTTTAAATAAATACTTAGAAAAGACTTACCCTCCACTTCACAGTTGACTTTATTACCAGAAGTATCGAAAAATTCAGCAATACAGCCACCACAATAGTTTTCTTTGCATACTGCTGTTCGGTCTGCAGGACAACGGGCATCTTGACATGGGTTAATGATACAACTCACAACTGGTACTCCCGGTGGACATTCAGCGCCGGTATCTAAAACGCATAGCAAATTATTGACTTAATGCTAAAGTTAAGAACTGCGACAATTTAAACACATGCGCTGGTATTATATACGTACAGTGTTTATTTGATTAAACTTTATTTTCTGATTTCGTAGCTTTGTTGCGTAATCGATTTATACGTTCAATATATTACTCTAATTTAGCAAAAATACTAACCCCAAATAAGGTCATAAATCTACTAAGATTCGTATACCCTGCGATCGCCTAACGCACTCCGATACTATCGTTTACCAGTATAGCTCGTATATATTGTGTCATCTGCTAGTATACGCACCTTTATTCTACCTTTACTCTCAATCGACTTTTCGTCAGTCTGGGTCAATATGAGATCGATATTTTTGGTCTTATTCACCCGTGCCCCTCCTAAAAACTCACCTGTATTGCCACAGTCTACAATAGCGCCATCGTTGTTGTAAAACTCCGCTTTACACTCCCCACAGAAGGTGAATTTACAACGAGCTCGAGGGTAACGAGGGCAAGTCGATACGAGGCATGGGTCCAGTTTGCACGCCACTACAGGCACATCAGGTGGACATCCATAGTATTCATCCAATTCTGTATCCCCTGCAATAATTATATAATTTGAAAATAAGGCCAGTCCAGGTTCGCTCCTTGCGGTTTCGTAGGAGTAACAAATTGTTTCTGCACCAAATAGATAAACCACTAACACCATTTGTGTATGTTTCAACTTACCGCCCAACCTACAATCTTCGATTTTCGATCCATAAATGTCGTAAAAGTCGGCAAAACATCCTCCACAGTAATTAGCCCTGCACAGCGCATTCGGATATTTGGGACACGTGCTTTCCTCGCACGGATCGACCTCACATTGTGAAAGTTGTACATTAGGAGCACATCCATGTAAAGTAGCTGAAAGGAGAATATACGACAAGAGAAGTGAACACAAAGCACTACGTCACTGAGTGGGATGTGTCCAAATAAGGATATTTCACAAAATACGCAATGCTTATGTTTTCCACATAATTGAAGTGTGATTACTAGTGTTCCAAATACCATTCGTTTATTTACTCTTCGTTGATTTTAATATCGAATACATTTAACCGATATATACTTATGATGACCTTGTGACTCGCACTGGGCTTCGTTGCCAAATACGTCGAAGTAAACAGCACTGCATCTTCCGCAGTAATTCGGTTCGCATCGATAATGGGAACACTGTGTATTCTCACAAGGATCAACTGCGCATTTCACCTGACGAACTCCAGGTGGACATTTTCTATTCGTGGCTTTCTCTCCAATACCAAGACCACCTGGTCTTACAATGCCTCCTACATATAACAGATAACAAGGAATTGAGTATTCCTCCCTACAGCATGTGGGCTACTAGGTAGTGAGAGTAATAACAATATGATACACAAGAATGTCATATAAATATTATAGTTTACCATAAAAAATACCCTCACATATTTTAACACCTGTCTTCAAAAATTGTTTTCGATTGATGGATTCTCAATATAATGAAATATCAGTATATATGACGTCATCGATGTGAAATATTTGTACCTGCGTCACGCTTTGGTGTTGTGTACCAATATATCATAGATACGGGTCCGCCGCCATTGGCATTAAATGGCTGCACTAGAAAACCATACATAGACTCGGGATTCAGTTCTTCAATGACAGCTCTGTTATCTTTGCCGTCCATTCTTTTAATTGCCCAGGACATGTATGATTCTTTAAATTCGGGCGCTTCGGAGTGCGTGTAAAATATTATGTGACCTAGAATATAGGAATAATAACAGTATAATTTAAATTATTAATGGATAGTGGTTGGTATTCAATTTTATAGTGAGTGAGTCTGTTTCTGGTTCGCTAACGCTATTTTATCTGTTTATAGCATAGCTTGTGAGTGTCATCACGTAAACAACTTATTTACTTCTACATGCCCGTGTTACAGACCACAAATACGCACTTGAGAATATCCATACGAAAACTATCATGCAACTTGATGTCTTGGCCCTGGATAATCAGGTTATTTCAAGTTGTATACACCGGTCAAGCGAATGACAGAGCAAGCACCCAATTAGCGACCGCACTGCAGCTGTTACTAGCCATAATTTTCCAAATTCAAAAAAAGCAGCTGGCCTGAAAGTTTCAGTGTGTTGTTTGAGAGGGTGAAGTTGTTTTAATGAGTGGGGACGTAGGACAGGTGTGATCCTGGCTTCTGAGAGGTCAGTGTCAACGGATGGTGGAAAATGATTTGTAGACAGTGAAATTATGTTGACCTAGCCTAGTAATTCAAATTAAATTAAACTGTGTTTATTATATGAGTATCTAACACCACAGGACATCGGAGTTGTTTCGGGCTACGCCTCACAACACTTCTCAGTCACAAGGTGTTGCCTGCACTAATTTTCACAGATCTAAAGACGAGAGGAAGTATCTGACAACTATTCGAACCTAGTCACGTCGATTTATTTGATCCGGTAAACCACTTTTAAAAATAATCATTATTTTAATCAATAAATATGTCGATAAATCTACACTTATTTACGGCGAACACCGATTGCCGCCACCAGTTTACCTTCTCGCGATTGAGGAATAGAGGGATTTTTGGAGCCGTTGATATTTTTTATAGTTTTTGTAAATTCTGGTAACCAGATACACTATATTGTACTACCGGTATATATATTCGGTGTAATTACGCATATATAGTTTTAAAAAATGCAATTTACCAGAAATATAGGAATTAATAAAAATTAATAACATTTTCCAAGAAATGTATTGTAAAACCATAAATATATTCGAATGTTGGCGTCAGCAGTAATGTATGCATGATGATGATGATCGACAATTATTTTCCGGTTTTATTACACAGAAGATCGGTTTTAAGTTGCAAAACATACGAATCATCAATCATATGACAACATTAAGGAATTTGGGGAATATGTTATTTATTTATTATGCCTGGTGGCATTTTTAATCACATTATTTATTTATTTTTCATTTACAACAATTATTGTATTTCAAACATCCCCAAAACACCGCTGCGCCATTTCAACTCCAACTTGTTAACTCCTAATCTATAGCAACGTTATTTGCGCATATTTTAGTGCAACTCTGTATGCTAGTTTAATGTTTATAGATAGATGTATGCTACTCTAAATCATCTTACCTGTATACTCATTATCTGGGTCGTCTTTTGTTGTCCATCGTACCAATACATTGACCCCAGTGACACCGCCATATTCTTCGACTTTATTAATGGAAGCCGTCGATGTTGGCGCTCCTCGGGCTGAAAAAATATCCGATCGCCATTATTATAAGTCTCGCTCCACACAAGTTTATGAGAAAAAAAAGGATTTCTTTGTATGTTTTCCGACTTTTATTTTCTATGATTTCAAAATGGTTCACCCCTTACCTCCAATGACGACAGTGGTGACAGCAGTAGCCTCGCTTTGAGATCCACGTCGGCCATCTTGTTCTATAGTTACTAGAAACTCATATCGAGTGAAAGGCGATAAATTGTTGACAGATGCCCATGCCTCGTCTGCTTCTACCTCCTGAAAACTGCAATGAATCGAAATTGTGTAAATGAAATTAACATAGCAAATCATAAAATTGTTACTTTTCGAATTTCTAGTTCAGAAAAAAAAGTATACATAATGTATTCGAGAACTAATCGTATGGTCTTACCTGGTCTGCCACGGGTGCGTAGCTCTGTAGCTGATTCGGTAAATTCTACCGCTTGGTGGCGTCATTGCGCCTTCTGGTAAATCTGGGTCTCGCCATGTTAGACTGACTTTGTTTAAAGTGTGTGCCCTGGCGACTACGTCTCTCGGGGCGGGAACTTGTGCTGAGTGGAAGTAAATGAAGTAAACTACATGTCAGCACTCGCACATTAAAAGTCAAGAAATATGCTGACGCATGGAGAGAATTGTTTGAAATGCGTAGAAAGTGCATGATTTGCGATTATCTAAAACAAATCCCGAATAGCAAAGCAACCTTTCGATCATGACAACATATCATGTAATCTCGGACTGATACAGTATAAATGAAAGTGGTGAGAACACACTGCAGTTCGCAACCCTATCATGCACATCATCACGAATTCAGAGACTAGCGAATCAGATATTTTGTCACATTCGAGGATAGTTTTGGTCTAATGGGGGTTATACTCGGATAACTAAAAATGGACACAGTATTGGTACTGTTGATTACAAGTATTTTTTGTATCCAGATTGACGCTTCAAATAATAGACGTTGTTATCAGTCTGTTCACTTAGACCATGGAAGGTACTAGTGTCTACAGGTACTAGTACCTTCCATGGACGTACCATGGAAGGTATCCGTTAATACCTTCCATGGACCACAGTCCCTCTATCCTGTGCATGGACGTACTAACAAGTACGTCCATGTTTAGACAATACTCGGCCCTTTGTATTCTACGACAAAGGAAGTTGTGCACATAGGAAGTGACACGTACCATAGGATTATCACCTTGCGTAATATAGGCCGTAAAGAGATGGATTGAATTTGTCAAATTGAAATTTCATAATAGAATTACATATGCACTTGAACAATAAAACATTGAATGATATACATTCAAAATTTCCACTGTTTTGCATGAAAAATTCGTTTGTCCATATACTAGTACAACAGTGTGAGATCAAAGTTCAAAGGAAGCTCATTGTCCGCATAACCTAGAAGATGAACAACAATTCCAAACATGTTGACCGTTGCTATGCTAACCGTATAATTCGTAACGGGATGTTCTAGTTTTGTAGTGCTATTTATTAGGTTTTATGTTGTGAACAAGTTAAGAACATGTTAGTTGGGTTTTATAGCAGAGAACAAATATAGTAAAAGGTAAAATTACGCTTTCTGAGTAAATACCGGTAAGTTATCAACGACACCTCGCTTTGGGCAAGGTCGGAGAGGTCCCACTAAACACCAACCCGGTGGCCTCCACCGCAACAATAAGACAGATTTATTGTTTTGAAACCTACTGGCTTTAAGAAAGAACTGACATAATGATTGATACTGGTCGTTTTTGGTAAGCACGTGGGAGTACAAGATAACAATGTGGTTGATTTGATAAGATAATTGTAAACAAGGCTGTAACGATATCCACGGACAACTCGGTGGCAGCCCGTTGCATAAGATCAAACGATCAAGGAGAAATGTCCAGACTCTGATCTCAGTGATAGCTTAGTTTAATCCGTCGCAGATCAATTAAGAAGTGCACAACAATTTACATATATTGAGTGCAGCATTGATAGTGAAATAAATGTCAAAGGTTTGTAAACATTGGTTCATGGCCAAACTATAGAGGTGCAGTTTACCTCCATGGTCAAAAAATTGACCTGGTTCTAACTCATAGCTAATCGTCACTACTCACACCAGGCTAATCCGTCGTGCCAAAATCTCGCATCCCGATTTAAATTATTAACTCACCTAATGTATAAGTAGAAAGAAACAGTACTGCACAAACGATGTAGAACACCTCCATTGTAGGTGATTGAGACACTGTAAGGCGTTGCTCAACCTTGGACTCTGCCGATGTATGAATAAAACTGCGCAGGTACGCCTATATATGCGCTTGGTTATATGGTCGAGCCCTGTCGTCTCATCGAGGGGTCAGGGGTATCTGAGATACTAGATCGTTTATCTTTACCCAAGCGTACGGTCTGCTAGCGTTGTATGCAAATTTAGACGGAGCATTGTCTTACTCCGATTGCAGAAATGTTTTGTTCACGGTTTATTGCACTTCCTGTCAACTACGTGACGTAATGTTAATGTTGAGGATGCGGTTCTATGAATCACGTACGTACAAACAAAGACAGACCACTTCCTTTGTGTATGTTTAGTGTTTACACATTGTACTCCAGGTACATCGCATCCCACATAGCGTCGTTACATGTTCATATGGATGCGTGACAATGCGTCATTACTCAGACCCTTGAAAAACAGACTACAAACGGCTATTGTTTCGCTGTTGTTTTAGGTATGAATTGAGCATTGAGTCTGCGGGATCTCATACTAATATAGAAGTATATTTAAATTATATATTTTTGATTTTCCAATTACTAGTTAATTAAATTTTTGCACATTTCCGACTCGCGATAACTGCATGTTGTTTTGTTCTGCTCGAATAAACGTTATTACATCATTCACAGTTGGTCGAGTTACATACATAAATATAATTTTGCGCAGCGTGTTCTTGTTAAATGAAATTATTATAATAATGTTTCGATAAGCACGTGTGTATATTTATACGGAAGTGGTTTTCAGCACTTATTTGGGAGCAAGATTCTCCATTAGTTTCAGGTAATTCACAATTCCTTCATATAATGAATGTGGCTTATTTGTATGTATAGGTATAACTCAACGGTATATGCATGTTTTGTAGTTGCATGTTTTAAGTTAATGCACCCTCACATTGTCGGTAAAACCCATAAACCACAAAGTTTATTGTTGGTGGTCAAGATCCCGGTCGCTTACGCCAATTGTCGAGATGGTAAATGTAGACTGGGAACAATAACGTATTATACTGTACTAGCCAAATGTTTATGCGTGATTTCAAAGCTAGCTATATTTTGATACTACAGTATAATTGTAATGTTCGAACTGAATATTCCACTCGTTCAAGAATTTTACTGTGAAATCGTTGAACGCAAAATTGTTTTATACACTGTTATAATAAATCATTTGTTTTAGTAACGATTGATATACTGTGAGTAGTCCAGTGTCTGACGTCACGGAGTTTGCTGACGTCTACTGGGGAGCGCTCTAATCTCGTATAATCAGTAAATAAAGCGGAAGATGACTAATACAGACATTGCTGTTACCTTTACCCACACTGGTACATCAGATACTGATTTGATACAATATAGTTTTCAGTCATTAAGTAAGTGTTATTTTAGAAAATATGGATTTTGTGGTTCAAATATCCACTTCCTTGATTCTATCAACGACTATCATTTTTATAAATATTTAACAGTCTTTACAGAAAGAGCGCAAGTTTGTTCACAATCTTTCGATCAATTTTTCAATTACTGCCTCGCCGTAGATATGGCAGTTTGGTTATTTATGTTGGTCTAGGTTTCAAAGTTCCGAACAAATAAGTTATTCTATTGCATCTATATGCTGCCCTCTTCAGGGTGTATTGCCGTTCTATATCTGCACAGTGACTGATAATGTAACTAGGCAACCAGCATACGTATAACGTTACTGTCATAAATGGATGGGCATACCAGGGTAAACAAGATATCTGGCCCTATGAAGGATAATGACAATATAACTGACCATCTCATTCACGCTCATATGTGGGCCAGGGTTCACTACAAATGCTCCAGTGAAAATAAATTCTCGCAATCATCCAAAAATTTTGAAATTTCTAGAAATTAAACTTGTGTTTTTAACAGGATAAACAGAATCATTTAGATTTTGCCGGCCCACCACTGGTCATCAAAACTGAGCCGTCCCTTGTATTTGTTGTTCGAAGGTACTAGTTTTTTATATCAAAGGATGCTATATCACCGCCCTGAACGTATACGTACTGTTTTCACTGATACGTGAAATGCAAATTAGCATAAAGGAGCGACATTTTTCGCCAATGTTATTTGCGTCTAACAGTTTTTAAAGATATGTCACATCTCATTTTTCGTTTTTTTTTTTTGATATTATCGTCGAGTTTGTCTAAGTGAGACACCCCATTCAACTACCGCACGGTCTTCTACTCTCCGATAATATCGATAATAATATCTAAGTCTAACAGTTCACAGTTAGACTTCCACCCATTTTCCGTTTTTATCCGATATTATCGTCTAAGTTTGTCCAAAGTTAGACATCCCATTCAAATACTGCGTTCAGACATGTTAATATTGAACCCATCATATTCTCCTAAGCAAATCAAGCAAGTTTATTCAGAAAATATACGTCGTTCATTCACAAGCTACGATCAGTCATAGTGAATTACTGTGGACAAAACGTTATTATAACCAAGTATCGAATCAAATCAGTTAAAAAATACATTATAATGCTACGGCTTCGACGATTCTAATGAGAATGAATCGAATGTGTTATTCTTAGTCCGGTATATGACCGATAACGCAGCAAGCTAAACGAGGTCCAGCATTGCCCGTTGTACGACTACCTTCGTCTCCTCCACGACCCAAGTCATCTACGCCAACATGCACCTGTAAAAGATGTAAAATAGCGTGGTAATGTGTAACATTTTGTTTTATGTCGGCGTTGGATTGATGGATTTGTAGTCAGGAAAGATAGAGTTTAAAGGGCGGCGGTCATCGCGTCAAATTTCATGACTGTAAACAAACTAATGTATTTCACACGCGTTGTGTACGTCGCTATGGTACCCATGTCGAACAAGACGCGGTGCGACCATGGAAGGTACTAACGGAAGGAGCCACGACGCCTATCAAGTGACCACTTAAGCCTCTTAACTGGCTTATTTCCTGTTGTTTCAACCCAAATTAATCCTGATAAGGACATTGTATAGCTCATCTTTGATGTCGATGATAGTTTGCGATTGTTTACACAAGTAACGAGGTAGCGGAGTATGATACAACCCCGCCATTTTTTTAATGTGACTATAAAATATATACGCATTATGAAACTACGGTCATCATACATGCGCACTGGGTTTGTTTAGGTGTGAAGGGTCAAAATACGTATTTCACAACCGGAAATTTAAGGTAGCGAGAAGGGTTTTGTGATGTTTTCGAATAAAACATTCTCTGTCTGTTGTGTTGTTCAGAAGAGTAATTTAGCTTATATATTTCAAAAGACTAAGTATAGAGGTACAAGTTCGCACAAACTGGACAGTCATTGTTTACATAATTATCACGTGACATCAAAAATGGCGAATCTTGCAAAAATGACTAAGTCCTCGATTGCGAGAGCACACTGCGGAATTTCCTGGTGAAATTTACGTCATGCATTGTCCGTAATCAA